AAGTTGGTCTAATTGAATAAAATGTTTTTCATACAAAATGAGTAACTTTTTATTCAAATTGACCAACTTCTGCTGTCTCGATTTTTTCTTCCGATACAATGAAATTATCCTTATAAGAAATTTAAAAAAATCTATAATTTCGGGTATCCCGATACTGTCCCAGTTAAAAAAACATTATAAATAAATAAATGTACGTACTACTACGTACGTACGTAGTAATAAACTTATATAAATTGCCCTGAAGTCTCCTTTAAAGTTTAAAGCAAGTTAGCGACGACTATACATTCGATTTCCTTCAAAGAGTAAATTTTATTTGACACTGCTTTTCGGTCCGATACACAAGTTTCTTTGCGATGTTTTCCTTTAAGTTAACCTACACACACACACTTATTCCAGAGGTCCTTTGACGTTCGGGATTGAAGATTTTTTTTACTCTGGCTGTCATCACTGTACAAAGTAATTAAGCAAATCGTTGGAGCCGTGTAAGCGGCCCTCACAGGCGCGCCCTCTAATTCCATACATATTAATCACTCATCTAATTAGTCAACTTACTTGATGTTATAATGTACACATATTTCTATACGCACAAAAGTTTCCATTGGACTGTTTTTCAAAGATCTTTTCTTTACGTTTCTCACCTATATATTATTGAAATTTTATCTAGTTTAACGTGTGGTTGCGAAATAAGAGCCACATCCTAGCATCTACCATAGTAGAAAATTTATTATATCCATTAGAGGGGCAGCATCGTTTTTCTGTGTATTAGATGAGATTGCAGCATATTACGACCGCCATTCCTACTGTCTAGCGATTGTAACATACGAATTTCAATATCTTTCTATTAGAAGCTAGCTCTTGTTATTCTATATTTAATGCAAAGTACCTTTAAAGTTATGTGAAACAGAATTGGTCTTTATTAATAGAAAACACTAATTACTTAATTAGTAAACTTACTAAAATAAAACTTTTATATGAAAAAAATCATTTAGATTACATTTTACCAAAAACAAACGTAACGTATTATTGAAAGTGAATACATAGGACGTCAACAAAATTTAAAAACTCGTACACCCGAACAACTCCAGATACTCAACACCCAAACCAGAACCAGAACAAACAGAAGTTCGTTTTCCGAGAAAAAAGTCTTATCTGATTTCTACTTGACCCTTGCTAAACTACCAGTCACTCACAGTGGGTAAATACGAGATACAAGACAATGTGTATTGTTACCAAGGGTATTTGTTGTACGTGATGCTCGTCAGCGTTCCCTTCGCTTGACTAATTATTGTAATTTTACAGTTGTTCAACACAATAATGTATATATATATCTACCTATATAAGGTGCTAACAAATTAAGTACGGATAATTTTAAAGTCGAAAGTGTGCATCAGAAAGATTTTTAATGCAATTTTAAAATTCACCTTTTTTTTATAATATCAAGTGACGGGACGAACAGCTCGTGCGCCTGATGGTAAGCTACACGCCTGTCCATAACTGTTGCAGTGCCACTCCAAGCTTTAAATCGCAAACATCTGAGGGGCATTACCACAGCGCCCGTCACCCCGGAACATAAGTTAACAAGTCCCAGGTACCTTTAGATTCACCACCATCCTTACCATTCAAAACCGGAACGCTGCAATGTGAGCACTAACTTGCCCAAGCAGTAGCTTGGCGGAAGAAATAGGTATGGTATATAATCATTTTGCGCATTAATTAAATATTAAACAACATCACATACGTTGGTCTGATCTCAAAGTAAGTAACTAAAGCACTTGTGTTATGGAAATCTGAAACAACCACGGGTAGGGTACGGTACGGTACGGGTACAAACACCCAGACCTGAGACTATTTAGAAAAGTTAGTTTTACTACATTGACCCAGCCGGGGATCGTTCTCGGAACCTCAGAGACTACGAAGGTCGTCAAATAAATTACTTGCATTTAGAAAATGCATTTAAAAGCAAATACAGTGACATTGACATTCTTTTTATTCGAATAGTGAAGTGGCCAGTGATAGTTTCAGAAGATAACATTGAAGAAGTTTTAATCACTAATTACTATTATAACGGGGTGTATTTAGTAATTAACTTGATAATTAACATTTAAGTTTCTTAACGACGTATTACATCTAATTTCAAAGCGGCTACAATAATGGAAGTAATGTAAAAAAATCAGTATACAATTTGTTAGCCTTATATATAAATTTATTGTATAAATTTGAATATTGAAATACGTTAACATACAGCAAAAATATACGGAACGGTTATTTTTGGAAAGTACGTACTGTGTATATATCGCAAAAAATATTTTCATTACTAATAATCATAATAACTCTACCAAACTGGTGGTACATACAAACCATCGCAGACCACATAAATACTGAAATCATCTTCCCTGTTGAAATTAGGAGGTTTTTTTCTCTAATATTTATTTTAATGAAAATCCCAAGCAGAGATACAATTGCAGTACTACTAAATATGTGTTTATTTTTTTTAAATTAACATTAAATGAATTTTGATGTGGCATTTATGTACCTATCCACAGTACAGGCAGGGCACACTCTGTACTATGTCATGTACTATTTGTTTAATGGTATTTAAACAACATAATCAAATCTCTTCCGTAAGTTTTCCATTATGAAACTCAAGAAAAAGCACAGAAACACGTGTGTTTTTTTACCACTAATATACCGTGTAAGCGGTAACAGATGTTTTAAAGAATACACAGCAAAAGTAGGCGAGAACACGACGTCTCACGTCGCCCATTTTGATGATTTATTTGCACAAAAACCATTTAACACCACTCTGCGCATACGCGGTTCGAGAAATTTTAGTGCAAATATAAATAATAAAACGTGACATGTTTGTCACATACGGGCGGACAGCTAATTAAATGTAAACATTTGTGATTTGATTGACTAACATTCTATAAAAAAATAAAATACTAACAGTATACTCCTAATACTATGAATCTGTACACTTACTTTGGATTTTCTGTTAAAAATAGTATTGAAATTTATTCAGGCCCCACTACCCACTTAAATGTGCTAAGAGTGACGCTGAATAGTAATTACGGTGGGTGCCGTTGACTGTACCCATGAGTACAAAGATTTAAAGGTTAAACTACCTCATAACTTAGTTATATCGAAGTAATAATGTCGAATGTATTTTCTAACATTGGACAAGACACTGAAATTAATTATTGTCATGTAAATAAAAAGACATGCCTAAAGGCCCATTTAGATGGAGAGAGTTTCTCGTCTCGAAGATACGATTATCGAAAGAATATAAAAAAACTTTCCTCGTCTAAACATTTGCGATTATCGACCGTCCACGTGAGCGATAATCTCCTCGCCTTTCAATATAACGTCTCCGTGTAAACAGAACTCGAAAGCAAAAATCGTATTTCGAGTTTCTGTGCCAGCCGTTTCTACCACGAGTGCAGCGCGCGAGGGTGTTTTGATTATCACTGCTTTTCTAAGACAAGAATTAATGGAACAAGAGCGAAAAAAAAATTTTAAATAACGGTGAGTGAGTGAGTGCCTCTGTGGTCGAATATAGCGTGGGCAATATAGTATTTAGGGTGCTCTCGTAACGAATATGGCACTCCTTTCTAAATCCAGGATGAAAAGTCATGCCCGCACTTTTCAAATAATGGCAAGTTGGGTATCGTTTTTGAGGTATTTGGGGGTGCTCATTACGAACATAGCATTTATTTCTAAATCCAAGATGGCCGACACGACTTTTCAAGTAAATGTACTTTTCAATAAACACTCCTCACTAACTCCCCACTCACTCCCTACTCACTTACTCACTCACTCACTCACCACTCACTCACTCACTCACCACTCACTCACTCACTCACGCACTCACTCACTCACTCACTCACTCACTCACTCACTCACCCACTCACTCACAACTCACTCACTCACTAACCACTCACACACTAACCACTCACACACTCACTCACTCAGCCACTCACTCACCACTCACTCACTCACCACTCACTGACTCACTCACCCCTCACTCACTCACTCATCACTCACTCACCACTCACTCACGCACGCACGCACGCACGCACGCACGCACGCACACACGCACGCACTCACTCACTCACTCACTCAGTCACTCACGCACTCACACACGCACTCACTCGCCCTATAAATTTATCATAATTGTCAGTTTTGGTTGTGTCAGTAGTTATATAATTTAAAAAAAAATGATAAATCAAAATTATATTTCTATACAGTGCAATGAACTTAATATTATCAGCAGTTCCAAATTTGAATGATTTTTGCGTCATTTCGATATATCCATAGTCAATACCGCAGTAATCACTGAACTCGAATGGCAATTCTCGCACTCAAAACGGTTCGAACCGATTTGTACGATAATCGTATGAACTTGAAAAAATGTCATACGAGATCGTGTTTAGACAAGTCGAAAACTCGTAAGCAAGAATCTCCTTACTACATATTTCTCCGTGTAAACAGTCGAGGAGGCGATTAAGTTGCTTACGAGTCTCGTATGACATAATCGTAGGCGAGATTTTAGTTCTTGCCTGAATGTAAACATTATGATACGATAATCTTATGGCGATTATTGCTTGCGAGAATCGCCTACGAGTTTTCGTCTCGAAGCGTGCGAGAAACTCTCCCCATCTAAATGGGCCTTAAGTCTTTATTACGTCCTTTAATATTGCGTTTTAGATGAAAATCAAAATATCAATTTACCAAAACACTTGCTCACAAAATTCGCAAATAAGATGGTGTAGGTCGACTGTACTAGGCTTCAAATTATTTTATCGCCTGCAAACACTTTATCATAAAATTTCATATTCAATTCTCTTCTCCTCGGTTGTTCCGGATACGAAACTCAAACCTCGTGACTCCGATAAGGAACCGGTCTCTATCATTGCCTGTTTGTAGCCTGATAATAAAAATGAAATATAATAATGCTCTATATTTTTTCGTTAATTGATTTGTAATAATTGTCTTCCCAGATGTCCAGACGGAGTTCAACATTTCAAAGTGCTGAGAGACGCGTCAAGCAAGTTCTTTCTGTGGGTGGTGAAGTTCAACTCCCTTAACGAGCTCGTGGACTATCATCGTACAGCGTCCGTCAGTCGCCTTCAGGACGTCAAGTTGAGGGATGTCGTTCCTGAAGAGGTGAGTCAACATTCACAGAGTTATCATTATCATCGGTTGTGTACAGATATTATATTGTATCAGGGTTACGCGTAGTTTGTAAAAAAGTTTGTTAAATCCAGAAATGGCTCGAAGAACAAAAGGTCATAAGAATTGGTTCCAAAAACACTTTTTTGTTGTAAAAAGGTTATCAGGTAGAATTAAAAACTAATAAAACTGCTATAAGTACTCATTTGGCAGCGCAGCCGATTTGAGCAGTTTGATAACTGGCTGTTTTTGATAGCATTTTTTATAAAATGGTTATTCTTGTCACTTTCAAATTCTACAATCGTTTGTCTACACTCATCATGACAAAATAAAGTCTGAATTTAAAGTGCCTGGAAAACCACAATGTTGGTATTTGTATTTTTTTTATTTAGTACTTTTCATTTTATACAAAGCCCCTGGATACACAATACGAAACATGGTAAAATATGTTTACGTCACTTATTGTTTACTGTGTAATGTGGTTATATAGTGGGTGCAATATGTATAAATAAACACAACAAAATTGTTAATTAGTATATGTTGGATAATGGAATAAACTGCCTCCGTGGTCGAACGGTTACCATACCGGACTGCCACGCAGAGGTCCCAGGTTCGATTCCCGGGCCGGGAGAAATATTTGTACGGCTTACATTTATTCCTCTCGTGAGTTTGGGTGTAATTTGTGGTTGTCTATGTGTGTGTCCGTGGCACCCGCGACACGGGGATTCCGTAGCGCGGGGCTATGTTGAGTGTGTGCGTTATTATTTTATTATTATTACCTAGCACGATAGGGCGCGAGATGTCTATGCGCGAACAGCAGTATCTCGCACGTTATGTCGCTCTCGCCCAAGTCGCGTCCTATCATGCTAGCCCTACAGTAATTTGTAGGATAGTTATATTTTGCTTTTGATTTACTATTTTATCACATGATTTTATAACTCGTAAAAATCATAAATCATAATTATAACATTTTTATTAAATAAAATGGGACCTCAAAAGTTTGTGAAATTACATCTATTTGCCAAGTTTTATTGAAATTAGTTGACTGAACGTGTTAACTTACCGACCGACTAAATAGCGGTTTTTTTTTTCTGGCTAGTCAAATTTCCAAAACTCGACAATGGTCACGTTGGAATAAGCCACACATTTTTAATTTACCAAAGAACATTCCAATTAACGCTACGTACGATTTGCAAAATATATATATTTTTTTATGTTACTACATGATAGGACGAATAGGTCGTGCCCGTGATGATAAGTGATACGTCTGTCCATAGCAGTTGCAGTGCCACTCAGAGCTGTAAATCGCAAAAATCTGAGGGGCAGTGCCACTGCGCCCGTCACCCCGAGACACAAGTTGACAAGTTCCATGTGCCTTACCCTTCAAAGCCGGTTATGTGAGCTCTCCTGCGTGGCGGCAGAAATAGGTAAAGTGACAGTACTTCACTGGACGGAGTCTTTCACAAGGAGCTCTACTACTACGATTTTAACATTAAGACTTTTCTATTTTACTAAATTAACTTTATTAAGTAAAAGGAAATTAATTGAATTAATAATCTCAGTACAGAGTCCTAAAAAAACCGACCTCAAAAGTACGTGGAATTACATATAATTACCAAGTTTTAGTGAAATCAGACAGGATTCATCCCCTAGTTCGCCACTATACGGGACTTGACACAGGAGATAACAATAAAAATCGGTTCTCACTACTCAAAGTATATTGAGAGAGAAAAACGCCTTGAATTGGAGAATAGCAAAATTAACCATTAAAATAATTGCTCCTTAAATTAAAATTTAGGTGCTATTTGTAAAAATTAATCTTCATGCGTGAACAGCCAACCTTAGAGGTGGATGATTTTTTTCAAAATTAAATGGGACCACTATGGAGGTACCGTCTTTCCAACAAAAGAAGAACGTAACATACAAAAAAAAACATACAATCGAATTGAGAACCTCCTCCTTTTTTTAAGTCGGTTCAAAATAAAATAAGACGTGTTTGATGCGAGGGACGAGGACTTTAAATATTATTGACGGGAAAACTGACCTATTTGCCTGTTCTCTTTGTGAGTTCACTAAAATAGCTTTATTTCTGAGATGTGTAATAATAATAGTTGTAATATAGTATGATGTATTGTAACAGTTGTAATATAATTTAATATAACTCAATACAGTATAATAATGTAAAAATAATATTGAACAATCGATAATTTTGGCTGCACTATTTAAGAATTAGGTTAAGAGGCAGTGGTAGCTTAGTAGTTTGACCTACGCCTCTCAAGTAGAGGCCGTGGGTTTGAATCCAACCTAGCACCTTTGAGTTTCTGCGTGCGAAATGTAATTTGAAATTTCCGTTGAAGTTTTCGGTAAAGGAAAACTCCGTGATGAAACCTGCACGTCGATGAAAGTTAACAACCGTCGGAAAACGTGTCAAGTCCCCAACCCGTGTTGGGCCAGCGTAGCAGATTATGGCCTAAAACCTCGCCTGAGAGGAGACCCTTGCCCAATAGTGGGACGTATAAATGGCTTGATGATGATGATTGCGTTATGTTAGTCCTGTAGTGATAAACGCTAACCTGTGTATGTAAAATAAATAAATGTTAATGTCTGGTACTTTAGACTATGTTTTCGACCTAAGCACACGGAATGAGAGAAAATTCCAGATATAATAATGGAACCAATAAATTTGTATTCTCGTTTATACGTGGCTAATAACTAAATATTGTGTTAATTTTTTTTTTTTAAATTCAAAATTCATTTATTCACTAGATAATAATTTTACAATGTCCGATGTTGGGGCTACTTGCAAGTAAAATTTACTTGTGTTAGAAGCCCCACAATGTGTATAAATAAAAATAATCCTATTATTCGCTATAAGTTCTATTCAGTAATTTTTTTGAACCTCCGACACGTGTTTTCTCAATTGCAGCATTTTTTAGTTACCACGGTATTTTGTTTCGTGTACTAAGTGTCGTATATTTTTAGCTTTTGTGTTAGAGAGGTGCTAAGCTACGAGACCTTGCTTATCAGACTCTCAAACTTTCGGACCATTCAAGATCTCTAATCTCTACAATAGCAACAAAACTACATATTAAATGCTCGGTAACCCCGCTTCGTGTAAATAGTCCGCTGTGACCCTGGTAAGAACGAAAATAACCCGGTCAGCTATGTCTGTTATATCTATATTCACGTAGATCTGGTTACCGAACAAATAGTGCCTTCGATGACGCACTTGCTGTGTTTGCTTTTTTTATGTCTCGTCACCCAGGTTTTGTCCCAGTTCAGTACAAATGTCCTAAGTATTATGTTTCTTAAATTAGTACCGAGCAAGCACCTAGTCAATTCTCTAACTGCATAATCGTAATGGTCATTGTGATTTTTTTTTACCAATTGATTATGAATGGACTCGCCATTTGGAAGGATTTCGTAGCCGTGACGTAATTCGACTTAATACATTCTGTCATGGCTCTATTTAGTATGCAATAGAGCTGCGATACACACTTTTGGAGAAATTCCCAAATAGTTTTGAAATCAAAATTGACCAATAAAGTTTTAATTTCAAATATAATGGTGGTCTGATAATTGTTGACAGCTAATAATTATCGCGTTACAGAATGAAAGCTAAACTATCCCTACTGTGACCAGGGGACCCTAAAGACGTCAAAAATTCACGAATACTATATTGATGTATAATTCTGTACGTTTTTCTATACACGAATATTCTGTTCTCCAGATGATTGTAGAAATAAGTGCATATTATTTTTGATTTTGTTCTTGAAAAAACTTATGTCACCGTTTTGATTTGATACCTATTAATTGTGTATAAGAACAATGCTATACGTAATCACTAGCGTAATCATATACTGGTTGTTAACCTAAGAGTATGATGCCACCAATTAAACCCAATAATTTTTATTATGAACATTGTTCTGAAATTAGAAAATAGATCTATAAGTATAGTAGAGTTGGTATGAACACTTACTGAGTTGAATCACCCTTAGAGAAAAAAAAAAAAACATTTTGGGTCATAAAAGCAGCGTTCAATAAGTTCAGAATTAGTCATCACATGTTTTTTTATAATATCAAGTGACGGAACGAGCAAGTGTCCCTGTTGGACAGTGACGTGCCTACCCATAATAGTTGCAGTGCCACTCAGAACTTTAATCTCAAAGATGTGAGGGGCACTGCTACTGCGCTCGTCAACCTGACACATAAAGTTGACAAGTCCCGTGTGCCTGTAGTTTCATTCAAATGCAGGAACGCAGTTATTACATTATTTCTTGACAGTACTTCCGTGAACAAACTCTTTCATAGCAGCTCTACTGCAACTTTTTTTTTAATAACGTAACTAAACATCTGTGTACGTTAAAACAATAGAGTATTAAATATTTTTCGGATCCCTTAGGCAAACAAAGACCAGCTGTGCTCTAACTCTGTCTCGGGATATTTGCTGTCTACACTACACACTACCGTAACATGCACTTGGGTTTATTGAAAATTATTAAAAAACTTACATAGTTTTGATATCTAAAGTCACCGCTGTCTCGCGTGTAACGCAATTAAATGAACAATAAGCAATAATATTTATTTATTTATTATTGCGTTGGTATACTAAATAAATAAGTAATTCACAAACCGGACATATAGTAAGTACAACTATATTATTAACGGGTACCGTATTTAATTAGCCGGACTGAAGTGACCTATTAATGGCGCAATATAATAGTCGTTTAGGCGTAGCGTAATTAAATCAGAAGGGATTCGTTAGTAATAGACCACGCTGTGTTTAATTAATATAATGGAGTTAATTATGTTACTCTATATCAAACCGTACACTGAGCCCGGCTTTTATTATGGATTAGTTGTGATCGACGTAAGCCAATAAATACAGTTTGCGATTTCTTAGAACTGTTGTGCGTTTTTTTTACAGTTCAAGCGCTAATAACACGTGTATTTAGAGAAGACTTACTGGAAATAAGGAGTGCCCGTTCAGCGGATAATCTCATCAGCAACTTTATTTAGTCTATAGCATGCATGATTCTTATAATCTCTTGAGAACTGTTTCTCATACATAAGAAAACATAATTTTTTAAAGTATTTTATAGATTGACAAAAATTTTGAATTATTATTAAATAACGTTAAAAAATTATTACATACAATATATGCGATTACTTACCTAATAACTGAGATCCAGGATAGCAGTATAATAATAATTATAATTATAATAATCTTTATTTCTCTCTTACAAAGTTATCCTATAAATAAGTGATTAACATTATGGACTTATTATTAATACATCTTTATTAGAGACTGGAGTCCATACTAGGATTTGTCCTGTGTTACGGATCTCCAGGCACTCACCAACCAGATTTCGCACTGTATTATACATAATATGAAAGCATTACCATATTCTAAATTACAGAGAGCGGGTTTTGTACAAGATTATTATAATAGTACAAAAGAAAAGTAATGGAATAAAACAAAATGGTGTGTGCGAGTGTGTGTGTATGTGTGTGCAAGTGTATGGTGTGTTTTTTGTGTTTTTGTGTAGGTACTACATGTTGGGTGAAGCAGCCTAAGTCTTCAGTGGACTGATAATCAAGACTGAGTAACCACTTGGTAATTTTTTTTAGTCTACATTCATTTTTAGTTAGAGGATAGAAGGCAAGTATATTGTTTAATTTATTATATAAATAACTTCCGAGGAAACAAAAGAATTTACCAGCGAATTTAGTACGGAAAGTTACTGAGGAGCACACAGTTTGTTCCTTCTTTTATTATTGTAGATTGGATCGTAAAACAATTGAGAGTGCTTGAACAGAGTGACATTCAAGATAAACAATTGGCCGACAATTAGGACTTTACAGTGCTTATAGAGCTCACTAGTTGGATAAAGTCGTGGAAGGAAATTACACACTTTGAGTATTCATCTTTTAGCTCTTTCGAGAGGAAACAGGGCTGATGTAGGCGCTCCACCCCGCACCGTGATACGATACATCAAAATAGATTAGCATAGTACCAGATAGACTATTCTAACAACTTGGGGATCTACAACATGTCTAAGGCTTTTAAAAATGTAGGTTAATTTACGGACTCTGTTTGATACAGCATCAATGTGTTGGCGAAAGCTAAGAGTGTCATCCACAATAACACCCAAGTACTTGATGGATGAGGTTCTAGAAAGAGTAGGACATGTGCAGGGAGTATGTGATTTGCGGCATGAGTGCCCACTCATGCCGCGAAATAAGATCAATATTCTCATGTTCGGGTATAGAACCTTTTTTGGTCATGAAGGCGAGATATTTAGTTTTACTGATATTCAACTTAAGTTTATTTGTTTATAACCAATTAGATATTTTGCTGAAACCCTTTTGTGCCTCATTATAAGCATCCTTCCAAGAATCACCTCTGAAAAAAGAAGTGCTGTGTCATCAGCGAAGGAGATAATCTTGCCTTCACCCATGTTAAGATCGCAGAGATCGTTTATATAAGTTGGAAAGAGAGTTGATCCCATCACACTGCCCTGCGGCACTCCATGTCGAACAGGAAGATCATCACTAAAGCACTGATCAATCCTCACCCTTTGGTACAGATAACTCTGAAACAGTTGAAGTTGTAACCCCCTTACTCCCCATAGCTCTAGTTTTTGTAGCAAGAGTGGAACAGAGACCGTGTCAAATGCCTTTACCAGGTCCAAAAAAATCACGATCACCTTTTTTTTGAGTCTAGATTAGTTACAACGTACTCGATAAGGTCGTGAATTGCATGGTTAGTGGAGTGACAAGATCTAAACCCATGCAGAGAATCAGATAACAATTTGTTGTCTTCTAAATACTTCACAAGTCGCTTGTTGATAACTTTTTCTTGAATTTTGGAGATGACGGGCAAGATGGAAATAGGCCTATAATTGTTTACACGGCCTCTGTCACCACTCTTATGAATAGGAAGGACGTCCGCTAGTTTCAGGGGAACAGGAAAAGTACCCGTCTTCATGGCAAGATTGCAGATGTAGGTGATAGGCCCCGTGAGGATATCTCTATATCTTCTAAGGATAGCTCCCGAGATATTATCTCTGCCTAGCCTACCGAGCCTTCGGATTTTAGATGGAGTATAATAGACTTAATTTCTGCACAATCTGTATCCATCAAGACCAATGACTTTAGATGTGATTTATTAGGGGGATTAGAAATATGTGTTAATGGAGACGTATGGATTTGGTTCGAGTAAGTTTTATCAATATTGGCGAAAAATGAGCTTATATTATTAGTTGAAGCAGCGGGATCATAATCAATTAGGTCATTTGCAGTAGATGTATTTTTATTGATATTGGTGGCAGTGGTAATAGCAGATCATAATTTTTTATTACTTTTTTTAGCAGCACTAGCAACACTTTTGAGTCTTTTAAACAGTTCGCTTCAAAAATTTCTGTACCTTTTGTATGTTTGCTTTAGTGCTGTGCTGTTTATATTTTGTTTTAGTTTTTTGTGCATATTATCACGATTTCTCATGCAAGAATGCCTGGTGTGATCCAAGGCTTGTTAATTTTTTTGCTATTTGATATTTTTGTATTTAATGTATTGTTAAGAATTGCACTGCTAAGGATGCTCACTAAGAAAGATGTGGCTAAATTAGGGCCAGTTCAGACAATATCACTGGATTTTAAAACAATTTCAAGATCTTCATAGTTTGTATGAGATATTATCTTATGAGATTGTATTTGGAGTATACGTTTCTAGGACTATATAAGTTGAGTAAAGTAATGATCAGTTATAGTGGTTTCGGCTACATAACAAAACACTTGTAGTTTAGTTCTAAGAATAATATGGTCCAAACAGGTTATTGTTATGTGTAGGGTTGTTGTAGGCTGGCAGCATTCCATGTGAAGATAATGTGTCTAGGTATTTAGTGGAAATTTCATTACATTTAATTGTGTCAATATTGATGTCGCCTATTAATATAGTATTTTTTATGTTAGAGTTTTTATATAAAAATTGACAAAGGGTCGTATTCTAGAACTCTACTCAATGCTCAAGACAGGACTTGAGTATGATTCAAAGCACTAGAAATCATACTCAAGTCCTTGCCATTAGGGTCGTATTTCCAGTGCTTGAAATCATACTCAAGTCTGCTCAAATCCTGACTTGAGCATTGAGTAGAATTCTGGAACACGACCCTAAGAGAATCAATAAATTTAGTAGTCTATCTCCCCATGGTCTATAATATATTGCAATAACCAGTGTATTAACATTTATTTTCAACGTAAGACAGTTGCTGTCCGATATGTCAGGTTCTTCAACTTTAATATTGTATTGTACGGACTAGTCTACTGTCCTACAGATACAGACTAGAGAGTGCAAGATAGTATTATTAGTACTGTCTAGCAGTCTCTGTCTAAGAGAATAAACCCTCTTTCTATATAGTATTGGAAAAAAAACTAATTTTTTCGGATCTACATTGGTTAGTTTGTTTTTCAAACAAACCAACGTTTGGGGCCTTTTACTGGTCCCATGGTCACGGCGGACGAAACTTTTTAAAGAAATTTTGTGACGGCGGCATAAGCGATTTTAGGTTTAGATCTCAAAAACGTTTTTGAATTCCTGAAACGAGTCCCATGACCAACAGTGTTATGATGTAATCGGATTAACATAATAGCACCGTAACGCAATGCGCATGCATTTCAGATACTGGTGCAAGCGTTGTATGACTTCACGCCGCAGGAGGCCGGAGAACTGGAGTTCAGGCGCGGTGACGTCATCACGGTCACCGACCGCTCCGATCAGCATTGGTGGCAGGTATGCCCTGTTCTTTCGTATCTCTTATCACGTCCAACGAATACTACATGTCTGCTCTGTGCTTAACTCTGTGCAACGCATCCTAATTACGTTTATAAGCCGCATAACTTCCTTACTTTGTTAACGTACCTGGTGCCCAACGGCTAGTACTTTCTTCACCCACGCGTTCACTCGCTTGATGAGGAAGTCTCGGGTTCGATTTTCTATAGGACCAAGTTATTATACTTGGGTCTACACAAGGCGAGAGTGAATAGTCATTATATAAGTGTGTATGCTACATCGACCTTATCGTCACTTTCCATCCGGTGTGATGAAAGTCTAATGCGCAATTATTTTATTAATTAAAAAGTGCTCAAGTTTTCTGATTTTATAAATGTAGTTACAAACAAGTTCATAGTAACTAAAATGTCCCAAAGTTCGTGAGGAGCAAGCGGGATCATCGATTTCGCTCTAATCACTTAGGCGTGGCTTGGCAGCGTTAGATACCTGAACAGCGCATTTATTAAATACCCAATTAAGGGATATTCCATCAGTCAACACTTATGCGTACCTATATTTAACGTAGTGTTATTTATTAAGTTTATTGACAAAAATACAGAAAAAATATTTATTTACTAATTGTAAGCTTCGCTCTCAATAGCACTTCCGGCTATAAAAATATATTATAATAGATCAAAAATGTTAGAAACTAACTTAATTACAAAAACATGCTCCCTTACATATGCATATTCCGTACTGGGTGGAACGAAACGACCGACAAAGCCGAAAATATCACGTTAAGAACCCTACATACATGAGTTTTATTTACTTTCAATGTAAAATCAGAGCAATTGAAAAATGTTCGTCCAGATTTAAACCTTTCACGGTGCAACAACCCTAAACGAATCAAGTGTTAGTACATCTACTACCCCGCAGGCGGCGGTCGTGTCATTGGCACTCGCAGAAGCAATAAAAGTGTTCTCAATTTAATAGGTAATAACATTGAACTTACTTTAAATTAAAAGGATGTTCGATTTGTCCACGTCCCCTTTACTGTTGACAGACAGACATTCTAGACACATTCCTGGGTGTGTCGGTCACACGCCGATGTGGTTTTCCACACAAACACACTAAGGGTCGTATTCTAGAACTCTACTCAATGCTCAAGTCAGGACTTGAGTATGATTCAAAACACTAGAAATCATACTCAAGTCCTTGCCATTAAGGTCGTATTTCCAGTGCTTGAAATCATCATACTCAAGTCTGCTCAAATCCTGACTTGAGCATTGAGTAGAGTTCTGGAATACGACACTAATACACTTTACTTGCTTAACACAAACACTACTTAAGAGGGAGCAGAGGAAAAATTCCTTATCTTCGATTTGATTTTAGATTTTAACTTTAAAGTGGATATACCCCATCCACTTTAAAGTTAAAAATAAAATATTGTATGATTAACTACACGATATATTCAAGCATAGACATTAATCAGAAACATAAAACAATAAAGTTTCCTCGATAGATAAAAATCACGAAATGACCTCTAATTTTCACATTTTTTCGATTTATCCTCGAAATGCTACAGGTTATTAGGACAAAAATTAGATAATTAATTATATTTATGCATGATCGACAACTCACCTAGGATTTTTTTTTAATCCCTTTAGTTTTAGAGTTAATAATAATAATAATAATAACGCACACACTCGACATAGCCCCGCACTAGGGAAACCCTGTGTCGCGGGTGCCATGGACACACATATACAACCACAAATTACACCCAAACTCACGAGAGAAATAAATGTAGGCCATACAAATATTTCTCCCGGCCCGGGAATCGAACCTGAGACCTCTGCGTGGCAGTCCGGCATGGTAACCGTTCGGCCACAGAGGCAGTTGAAGTTATTCCGCTAAAACGAATTTGGTACTTTTAATGCGCAAAATTCAACATCTCCTGTCGCATGTCACGCGAATTTCAGTCATATAATTGTTTCACAAATTTGGGCGGAGCCAACGTCAAAACTTTTTTGGCATGAGAGCTCTTAATAACGGCACTATTCCAATAAATTGCGGTCACAACCCGAAAATTAATAAGTAAACGTTGTTTTGTGCTGTAAACACGAGAAAAACATGATACCACGAGTTACCATACAACCAGGCATTTTGAACTAATTTATGAATGAAAAAGTGTTGCCAACTAGACTAAAGCAAATATCACTAAACCGGAGGTCCATTTAATTGGCAAGAGCTTTATGGTCACAGAACATGCAAGACTCCTGAATAATAAGATAAAAATAATATTAAATTTTAAACTATTAAACCTAATTAAATACGCGTCAGAAAATAGCATTTTTTTTGTCGCTAGAAATAAAAGACGCTTTTGATGTCAAAATGTCACATAAAGGGACAAAGTCGCTTAGTTGCCAAAACTAGCAGTAGTAGCGGCGTACGCGTCCGGCGGATATCATTGGTTATTCAATATTTAGATATTTAATAATCAACGATATCCGATCGATGTTAATTTTAAATGATAATTATGATAAAGAAATAGGTTTCGCAATAATCGTCTTGTCTGGTATAAGTACCATGAGCAATGCAAAAGTAAAAGTAGGTTAAATGCAGGTCGTTTAAAGAATTGTAATAAATAATCAAATTTAGCAATGCGATACTCAAAAATAAGAAAACGAACCGTGGAGGTGGTCTGTTGACCTCTAAGAACCGATTTATTTATTTTTACACTACATTTATTAAAATTTCAACTACTCAGCTCAAGTTAACAGAAAGTTAAATTTTAAATGTTGATCTCATTAAAATGAACTCTTCGTTTTAAAGTTAGTAAATTCTTGTAGTGTAAATTAAAAGTATTTCCAATTGCATTGAAAAATAGACTAGTACAATAAAAAACGATATCCCGATTATGCTACCAAAAACAGATAACAGATATCAAGTATGCTTCTCTAAGCGGTGATAAGTGACGTGATTGGCTGCCTTACTTTACTATTTTACGTTAGGACCGGATTAAGGGTTACGAGACTATTGTAATTTGAGTACTTGACGCATGTTGTAGAATGTGTTTACATATATTATTATTAGTTATGTTTGTTTAAGTTACTCTTATCTTATGACGCAGACAATATGAGTTGAACTCCTGACAGGGTCATTTAGAAAACTTTACTTTTCTTAAGTTGTTGTAGGTAGTTTATGACGCATAGTTTGGAAACAACATATCTCCCGTAGATTCTATGACAGGTGTATTTTTTCGGTAAATGTAAATAATAAAATACCCGCATAATTAATCATCATTCACATTATGGTTGATCAAAGAAAGCGACTGATGGGGTGCTGATCAACGACTGAGGTCAACGACCTATTAAATTACAAAGATTTTGTCCAGAGTACCTCCCGGTAGATCAGACTTTTCAAACAAATCTTTGTCATTGAAAAACTCGGAAACTTTTACACTTAGAGCAAAAAAAATTTCAGTACAATTATATACATATATAAGACTCTTCACAGTTTTCGGCTTTGTCGGTTCTTCTGTCCACCCTGAAGAACAATTAGGCAATTTACAAATACTGTTGGTTACAACCATTTACAGCCATAATTACATATTATGTTATAGATATTGACGACCTCCGTGGTCGAGTGGCTTGCACGCCGGTTTTCATGGTGTCGCCATCTCCGAGGTCCCGGGTTCGATCCCCGGCCGGGTCAATGTAGAAACGAATTTTTCTATATTGTCTCGGATCTGGGTGTTTGTGGTACCGTCGTAGTTTCTTATTTCCATAACACAAGTGCTTTACTTACTTTGGGATCAGAGCAACGTATGTGATGTCAAATATTTATTTATTTAATATTTATTTATTTAGAGATACAGCCAAAATTATTTTATGAAAATTATGCATTCAATTGCATTTACACTTTACAACCATTTTATTGTAAGTGCAATTGAGTTTTATTTAAATCGCGCGTAAAGACGTGCCGTCATGTGTACCTTATTTTATATCTTGTGTTTATAACAATTTTGAAAATTTGCTATGCGGAACTCTTCGTTTATCTGTCATATTTTATTATGACACAGTTCCGTTTCATAATTTCCAGTAATGCCAAAAATTACTAATTTTGATATAATTGACAGCCGTGGTAACCTAACGGTTTGGCCTTACCGCTTCTCGTGGGTTCCAATCCGGGCTTGCACCTATTGAGTTTTCGGGATATGCATGCGAAATTTAATTTGAAATACCATTTACTTTTGGGTGAAGGTGAAACATTGTGATTATTTTTATTGTCATAAATGTAACTAAATGACTATATTTTTAAATCAAATCGTTTATTCCCTTTAAACAGGTTGTAAAGGCGTTACAAAAATGAATTTTGAATCACCTTTCATAGTTAATATGTAATTTTCATGCAATAATTTGCAAATACACTATAATCGTGCAGTCCAATTAATCGCAACCTAATACTAATAAAACATTTTAACAATAATAGTTTGTTTAATTAAAAAAAACACAAAATATAAATTTGTTAACAAATCTTCAGTATTGTAGAATGTCATATCATTCAGGTAATTAAATAATAATTTATTAAAAATATAGGATGCCTCTCTGCGCTCCTTGTTATAATGACACATTTGCATTTCGGTAACTTTCGAGAACAATACAACAAACTAAATAAAAGATATATAAAAAAACCGCTTTAGTGGGTTGTAGATCTCGAGTCGCTTATCCCATATACAATAATAACTCAATTTCGCTAAAAATATACAAATATACACGTATGTATGTATATTATGTATTTATATAAGTATTATAAGTTAGTCATGTAATACGTTATATTTATGTTGTATTTACTATATATAATAATTATTTATAAATTTGTTCCTAACTGCTTTTAATTATCATGTTATGCACCCCTGTTAATTATTTTGAACACAGGTTTTTGTCTCCGGCGTTAAGTCCGCCATTTGTACTGTTGTGTGCAATAAAGTAAAAAATGTGGATTACGTTAGCTTGTGTGGTTACGTTATGATAAGGCCGTTCCGTAGTCTTGTGAGTTTCCTGCAAATTGGTTTATACGTGTATTAATTATTTTTTCAGGGTGAAATAGCGCATCGCCGCGGATTATTCCCAGCGTCTTACGTGACGGCCTACCATTCATAGTGCCTGCGCGCCACACGCCCTTGCCTCTCTACCGCTGAATTGTGTTGTGTGCCGCCATTACGTTATTCTCCGCCGGCACCTGTCGCCAGTCACCCCGGCCGGGCCTTGCTAGGTATATCATTATCCACGCTTCAACACGCGACCTTCCAATACAACACGAAACAATACCATGCAATTCGCACCTGAGAGGAAAATGTACACTTTTTTGTATACCATCTTTAAACAAAAGTGTGAACACGGAATCTCGCTTTGTATATGAGAAAACGTTGTAGTTTTCTTTTTTATTCGTTGTGTACATGAATTTTAAACCTAAAGAGGTCCAGCCAGGAGTATTGTATAATGTATTTTGACGAGTATATGGTGCTTCATGTCCTACAGTTTGATTACGCGTTTAATTCATTTCGTAATAGTTTGTAATCGTGTCGTCCATTTACTAGTATACTGCCTTGGTTTGCAATATTGTAACTTTTGGTAGTACAAATTGAGTCTAACATAAATACTGTATTCGTGTTCTTATATGTCGAATTTATTGAGTCCTCGTTTTATTATCGTGACATCTGCAGGATTATGAGTTGTCCTCAATTACGTGCCAGATTGTAATTTGTAGTTTTTTGAAATATGTTTAGTAATAAAAGGTAATAGGGATCAAATCAGTTTTTACTGAAATTGCCCCGCAGTATAGATTTTTTTTATATGTGATTTTTAAAGTATGACCATTATATTTTATCCCTTTTATTGTGTAATGCTCATATTAAAAATATTTACCATTTTACATGTAGTTAGGAAAATAGGTTTTAAGTTTTATTTTACATGTTTGGATCTTATTTTTTATCGTACCTAAATATTCGAGAAAAAATATATACCCCTGGTCACGTAGAGTATATTGAGTATAATAATACATTTAGCGTCCTCCAAAAGCTTAGCTATCCGTAGATATAGGTTGAAATCTTTAGGATACGCACATCTCAATTAAGGTATATATGCAATACGCGTAATATCTATTTTTATTTTACTATGTCGACGACGTGTTTGATAGATACGGGATGTACAGCGAGGGATTTTGATAATATTTTTACGTAATTATACAAAATAATGTCGTGCTTTACTGCTTTTGGTGTATTAATTTGATGAGGTTTTGTTACCCGTTTTAGTGTTTTTTTACTGATTAATGAAGGAGTACCTAACCACGAGGTCTAAAAGCTAAAATATTAAACGTATAAAATAATAATTCAATTCTTAAATTAAGATGACGATGTAGATCGTAGCGGTCATGTGAGCGTTGGTTGCTTCTTACGGGATAGGCGAACGCACGCGAAATAATATTTTTTCAAAATAATTAGAATGTCTTTATTTTCCGTTTCTGTACTTGACGAAATCATTAATAACATGAGACTTGTCTAAATTTTGAATGCAATCTAGACGATTCGATTTGCCTTAATTTTGAATTGATTCGCTTAAAAGTCGCATTTAAATTAATCGAATAAAAAATCCCTAAATCGTGTGCAATTGAATCGACCTTCATAAAAATCGAATAGTAATGTCCATCCCTAGTTTACATCTCGAGTTTTTAACTCTACAAGGTTGTAATGGTAACACATAGGAAATGAAACTATTTTTTCAGATGACGTTCGTCTATTTGAAAAAACAAATATACGCGATTTAAATCCCAAAAAATGTTAATTTCTGTGTAAATACATAATACAATAAGAGAAGTATGTTTACTCCGTACAAAGTAACAGAGCGACTCGTACAAAGTAACGAACGCACACATTCGCATAAGAATGAAAGGCGCGTCGTGACGACCAGTATTATGCAACGGAAGTGCATCGCGAGAGTATGCGAATGTGCTACGTTTGTATGGAGTTATCACACTTGTCTTATTATGCTATGGTAATACTTTGTATATTATTTTCGATGTATTTTCATAGAGGTCAATAAAGTTTCGATTTGTTTATTGCTGATACTGTATAATAGCAACCCAGAGGTTGTCTAGAGTTCGCCTATAGCCCCAGAAGCAACATAAAAATCATAATATTGTGACACTAACGTGTCATTGTACTTAGCTAGCGTTTAACATTTAGTCAAGAATTTAAAATTAATTAAAATTTTGCGTGCTCGTTGATCCAATGTAGATATTTATTTTTGTTATATTGTAATGTACCCCAAAATTATAGTTATCGATACATACTTGATTGAATTTAAATGTAAAAGTTAACATCTGGATCATAGAGTAATAACATCTGCATCATTAAGTAAGAGGTACCCAATGCATGTTTCCATTTTACCAAGTAAGAATAATCCCTTTTAAGGCATTTATTTAAACTGTGTGTAGTAGAAGTAAGTTGGGAGGTTAATAACGATTGTCTCGGGAGTAAAGTATACATTTGAGAAAACAATAAATATATTAAAAAAACAGTACATGTTAGTGCTTCTCGCTGTAGTGACAAGTGCATGAAGGCAGGTTTTATGAAAACGGAAGTGCTCTATAATAATCAAATATTTAATTAAGTTATGATTCTCCAATATTGTGGAAGATGTATAATATTTTTTACTAATAAATTTAATATTGTACGTCTGTGTTTTATTTCATAAAATATTTTTAGATTTAACATTTATGAGTCTCGTGAAATTGTCTTTGAGAGGATAATTTCATTTTCTGTCTGAAATTTCTGCATGCAGCGCAATAGATGTCTAGTAAGCAATAATAATACTGCCCTCTTCCAATTCTTATCAAAATTGAGATACATGCGTATTCGAAATCAGGAAAAAGAGACCAATCTACCTAGTTTTTTGTTGAAGTATATGTAACCCAGAACGCAACAATACTTACATTACTGCTTGGCGGCAGAAATAGGTATGGTGGCAATTAATCCCTGGACGAACTCTTTCACAGGGTGCTCTACTGCTACCAAAACTTACTTTTTTAAATCGTTGCTTTTTTGATACACATCATAAGTAATTTACGAAATTATCAGGTAAAAATGATCAAATAAAATTAAACATTTATTAGATTAACAAACAATATCATTTATTTATTATATACCTATCACATTATTCAACATCACATTTAAAAATGTCTTTGTATCTAAACTATATATATAACAAATATCTACTATTCTCAACAACTTTATAATCTGTCCCATTATTATGTAATTATCTCAAAGTACATTAATATTTGAAAAGTATACACTGTATGGTAATTTATAATTGGACTATTTCTACTTTATTATTTTGTTTCTATAAAATAAAAAAATAGCACCTTAAGGGCATTCTAGTGTACATCTTATTTTGTATTTAGTCCAACCTGTATTTATTCACACACATTGTACAACCGGAGATTTGAGAATGAAAGGGTGACCATTACATTCACGTTGGATGACAAGTTAACTTAAATTTTACAAAATTGATGACAATCCTTTCTTTCTGAAATTACCTTTAGTTGGTAAAAGAAATTAACATTTTTTCGTGATATCAAGCGACGGGACGAACAGTTGTGCGCCTGATAGTAAGCGACACGCCTGTCCATAACAGTTGCAGTGTCAAAGATTTGAGTAACACTACCATTGCGCACAAGTCACATGTAGCTGCACTTTCACCAGCACTCACAATTTTCAAAACTGGAATGCAGTATTGCTCACATTACTGCTTGACAGCAGAAATAAGCACAGTACGAAGTCTTTCAAAAAGAGCTCTACTACATGGAGTTTGAACACTTTTTTTATCAAAACGGGAGAGACACAACTAGAACTTGAAACCTACGTGAATGGTAGCTCTAGTACTTATATGCTTTTGATTTTAGTGTTCATGTTTTCAATATAAGAAACTGGGTCTTTGAAATTCTCGCAACATGACGGCATAATCCAACTTCCCGCCTTTAACTAGATCGCTCTAACTCCTAATTGCCACCCTTGGGAATCCCGCAAAAGTTCTTGTAAAGAAAACTGAGACTCCAAAGCGAAACCGTTGCCATAAATCTCACAAAGTTTAATTTAAATTATATTTACCTCGTGCTAGAACAGTTTTCTTTGGAATTATGTATCGAACGTGTTCTTTGTGACCAACAACGATGCTCTGTTCTATAGACTATCTTCAACGTATTTCGTACGGACTATTTTTAGATGTAGGCAGGGGTTCCACCCCTATGTTGTGGATATTCCAAGGACTCGCACGAAGCGCACTTCCACATGCATATGTCGAACGAAAACTAAGTGGAATTCCCTGCCTGTAGACTTATTCCCTGAATAGTGAAGCACCTAAATAGTGAATAAGCACTATTTAAGTGCGGATGCTCCATTGTCGACCTCATTGACACTTTTCATCAGGTGAGATGGAGGTCAAATGTGCGTTTATTTATTTATAAAAAAAAGAGTTACTAAATAACTTCAAGCTGGCAATGATCATCGTCTTCATTATTGCAAAGCAAGCCATGTAATTTAAAATAGGTATAGTAACTTAAAGTGTAGCTCTTTTTGCAAATAACTACATTTTAACGATAATTATAATCGATCGCACTTTTGCACACGCACCTAAATAAGTTACATAGTCAATTTTAGATACATTTGTCATCAATACCACAAGTATACTAGCTACACACTCTGTATTTTATTAGCAGTAATCAGAATAAAAAGGGACTTTTTTACCTTAACTTCGTGAAACAGAGACAGAAAGTGGAGACTACCTTATGACAACATTTTTTGTCATAATAAATCTTTAAAATCTTTAATGTACTATTAAAAATTAACGTTATTTGAGATAACTAGGTTGACTATATTTATCTAAACTTCGCGACGAGTTGTTGCTACCACCAATTTCTCGGAATATTTAAGAATATGCCGACAAAAAATCTTACTAAATACATATAATTAGAATCATTATAGCTCTCATATCCAAATAACGTAAATTTTTAATATACGTAAGTGATTCACCCAATCCCGAAAAGATCCAGGACAAAAAATATTGTCTTTTAGGTAGTCTTCATTTTGTCTCTGTTCCTCGAAGTTTAGGTAAAAAAAAACTACCTATTCCGGGCACTGTTTACTATAAATATCGAGAAAAAAATGCAATTTCCTTTTCAATTTCATTTTCTAATACAATTTCAAATTTCCACAGCAATTTCATTATGTATTTGTGCACATCGGTATATTATTTGCGACTCAAAGCGACGCATACATGGTAACTAAAACTAAACAACCGATCAGAAGAGGAGGAAGAGCATCGCGTTTATAACAACATTAATTGATTCTAAATAATGAACAGTACAGAGTACTAAAAAACCTACCACAAAAGTTCGTGGAATTACATTTGTTTTCCAAGTTTTATTGAAATCGATTACCGAAAAGTGCGTGAAACCTTTGCCTAGTTTGCCACTCTTAGAAGTGGAATATTTTCTCAAAATTTAAATGGGACCAATACTGAGGCACCTTCTTTCCAACAAAAATGAATCTTCAAAATCGGTTCACAAATTATCGCGTAACATAAAAAAATACAGTCTAATTAAGAACCGCCTCCGGTTTTTGAAATCGGTTAAAATTTAAGATAATTAAGAAAGGCGATTGTTGCGTATAGACTAGATATATTTAATTCGGACCAAAACGACTGTCATATTTGTTTGTTATAGCGAATTATGGTGGCAAATATGTCTACAGAAAATGTTTGCAAAGGTCTACATAAAATAAATTTAATAAATCCCAGTAATTTGTTACTGTAATACAATAAGTACATACCTAACATATACATATATAACAAATACCTAACTACAATTAATAGCACATTTCAATATTGTGGCAATACAATTGGTAAAGAGTGGGTCAGTACCCAATGGTAAATAAGAATACATAATAAAAGTCCATAAAAATAAAAATGCTATATCTAACCAAACAACGATGTCTTTTAGTAGAGACAGAATCTTGAAATGTACAGTATTAATTAGTAAATAATAAAACGAATTCACCTTGAATATTATCACGAAATAAAATTTTCAAAACATATTTTACACATACATTAAAAACGTTATATAAGTTGATTAAAGAACAATGGCGAAATAATTGTTGATATAATTCTATAACGTCTTCAAAATTGAATAAAATGATTTTGTTAGGTTTTTTTTTCAAATTATACTAACGGCTTTTCTAAGTCCGGAAATAAAACGATTTAAATGACAAGTGCTTACCTAAATATAATTTACGACTATATTTTGTTGGGTTGGAGTCCACAGCAAAATGTACTCGTAAATTATCTTTTGGCAACTTCAAACAGGAATATCTTTGAATCAGGCTTAGAATAATAGTCCCAAGAGCAGTTTCTTTAGGAATTTAACTCTATACTTTTACATGTCTTCCATATACAGATGCATTGACCTACTACAGATGCTAAAAAATCAGGTCAACAAAACTTTATATGGGAGTTCTGCATTGTTCTTGTGCTCCTGCAATGTTTAGCTCTTCCTAATGGTGCAAAGTTACTACGATATTCTAAAACGTATGCCCTCCTATTGCCACCATGATATTTTCAAACGCTATCCAATTAATTAAAGCCCAGGGCCCCAATCGCATCCAGAGGGGTAGAAAACCTTTGTAGAGAGATAGCACACCTTCGTTCTTCACCGATTGTTGTAAACAGTCCATCATGCCACGGTATAGTGTGCCTCTGAAAAAGACCGATAATAATTTTGTAAATATTTGCAGTACTAGAAACTAATTGTAGTGCATAAAGAGTTTCATATCAATTGTTTCAATATTTTTTTTTTCTGTTGAGTACAAAAATGATCAAATTTATAATAAGTACTAATAAATAAATATACAATAATAAATTATCCCTTAAGCAGGTTTTGTATCAAATAACGCCCACAACTAGTACTTTACAACACTAATGGATGTATGTAACCCATTATTTTTACCAATATTTATGATTTGAAATGGATCTGAATGGAAAAAATCAATAGAACATGAAGGGAAACTACCTCACACGCTTAAGATAGGTAATTTTACTTAAAAGAAACATACCTTTATTTTTCTTGCCTGGATGTAGTCAATTGCAAGACCAAGACAATTATTGCAAGTAGTTTATTGGGAAAGAATTGTTATCCTTATTGATCCTATCAATTAGTTTAAGTAGTAGTGTTTTTTTTTGTTGCTTCGATTCCTGGCTCAGGTAAACTTTTAAAAAATTCTGTGAATGCAGTTAGTCGTATTAAGAAAAATGAAAGAATGTTTCCTTTAAGTAAAATTGAGGTAGTTCCACTTTATGTCCCATTGATTTTTTGTAACTTGTATATACTCGTACATAATAAACAACCTATTCCTGTCAAAATAGTAAGTTACGTGCTTCCATTGATGTCGAAAGGTACGAACATTGTATAGGTAATCAAAAATAAATACTAATAGCAAAAATGACCTATCACTTTATTATAACAAATTATTATTATTATCTTCCCCTGCCTGTAAGTATATGTAATTAATTAAATAAATCGTTTATAGTCCACGGTAATAAGTACATTAACTATAAATATTATGTTTTATAACTTTCATAGAACGCGTATTCAAAAGCTTATATTCAGAATGGTTCAATTCAGACACAAAGCAAAAGGGTCGCAGCGACTCTGCGTGTTTTGACTTTGACCTAGATTCTTGACCCCGTGACAACGTCGACATACTTATACCTGTAGGTAGGTACCCATAAATATGAATGGCTAGCGATTTTACTTATCGATTGAACACATTGTTTACGTAATTGTATGAATGATTAATACAGAGGTGTTCGTAACTACAGATAGAAATAGTTCTAAAAACACGGTAACAATCAGCTGTTACATAGTAAACGTTTATATAATTTTTATATTATCGACCAATTGAATGATAACAGCTGATTTCACAAAGGTCCGCATATTACACCTTGTATTTATGAGTAGAATCGTTCTTTATCAATATCGCATACATTTCGAGGTTCTCCGCACTCTAATCCTACTCCTGAACATGAGAACACTTCTTAGCAGAAGGTTTACATTGTAGTGCATATTGCGAGCTTAACGTGTATTCGAGGAATTTGTATAAACCTCCGAGAATCAGATTTTCGCACAATGTGTCCTTCAACCCGCATAAGCCTGTGGTGTTCCTGTGATTATACATGTTGATGTTACTTTGAGCTTGTACAAACAAAAGACTAACTGCCCAAAGTCCGCACAGAATTATTATAATTAGAAATCAATCAGTTCTTCGATACTGTTGTTATAAATTTGCATTTGAGATTATATTCCGCCTCAAAAAAAAATCTTTTTGAATTTCAGCAAGTCCAATAAAAGGTTTCCCACCAAGGAGTTGTTTATGTTTGGAACAAATAAAAAGTACTTTAACAATGCAAAAATAGAATTAACTAAAGAAAACTAGATAAGCAACGAAATTGCGAAATTGATAATTTTTTTGGACAGTTTTATAGTGTTTTGGCATTGTTTTTATAGAAAAAATGTTTGCTTTTTATATTTATTTCAACAGTTGTAAGTGTTGATAAGAAGTAACAAAACGATGAATTTTTATATTTTAATTTTTCAAGTCAACATAAAACTTTCGCATTTCAACGCTAAAAATAAAACCGTAATACCGTATTATATAGAATACATTACAGGCATGTAGAAACCCTTCGATTACTCGTAATGTCTAAACCAGAATTGATGAATCCTTTCAAATCTCTCCCCGAAGGCAACAAGAACGATGAGGTTTCTTTGTGAACCTTTCTCGAATAATGACACGTCTGTCAGTGATTTAGTATTAAATACAATTTTTCTCTCAGTTATTAACAAATCAATTCCGCACACAAATTGAAATTCTGAGAATTAATTTCTAGCAATAACTATTGTAATAATAAGTTTACAAAGTTGACTCACGGCATGGGTAGGTCGTGAATTAGTTATAAAATACAGTCTGCAATGACGTGTTAAGGGCAAAGATCAATATTATACACGGCTAATAGCTATGCTCAATAAACACGATAAAGTACAGTCAACATAAAAATTAATTGAATATTTAAACTAACTAAAAATATCTAAACATCCGAAAATATCACACGTGACAAAAATCACATCAACAATCGAGATATTTTCAGTTTCAATCTTAAGACAGATAGTGCGCCTAAATATTTTCATTAGCTTTAACCCGTCTCACGGTGTCCCTGACAATTTTGGTACTGTAGCGTCCTTGCGTCCTATAGTCACACGGTGTCCAAACTCATGGTACCACGATTTCTTTTAACCAAGGTAAACGACTCTTTTATAGGGAACTGTCTACGCTTTTACAATAAGATTCTGGAGCATATATTAAGATTATCATTTCCTAAGTTTAAAAATTACATTCAAAATATTTTAATTGAAAAGTCATATTACAAAATTGAAGACTACGTGTTAGGAAAGACGACATGGCTCTAGATTCCACACAAATTTGATTCAAAGTGACATTACATAGCATTGAAGTTTATTTGAAAAGAGCAATCCCTAGAGTTTCTTGCTCGTTCTTCTTAGGAAATCAGTGTAGTAGCAGTAGCTTAAATGTGACGTTTTCAAGTGTAAATTTATTTTTTTATTTATTTATTCTTTGACTTTGTGTCTCTAACACGAAGCTGTGTTTTCATCCACCAATTAATTAAAATATTTTTTTTTAAATCCAAAATTGTTGGAACGTGGTGTGTCTCTACGACGCGTGACGGATTAAGATATCAAAGACATTAAGACTTTCGATACGATTCGACAAAACAAGGAGTAACATCACATATTTACCTTCCATCAGGACCCACAGGTTGGTTCATAAGGCGTGTTTTCAGCACATCAGCAGGAGTTCCCAAGACGGCAGCGACGAAACCAGCCATAAACGCCGCTGCCGCTTGAACTAATGTGTTGTCGGCCATACCGAACTCCCGAATCAGGAACTGCTTGCTAACGTCGTACGCAGCCAAATCTCCCATATTGACTAGAGCCGCTCTCTGCACGTTCGGCACCGCTCCTAGAAGGTTTAAAATCATGTCATGTCAACAAAATAAAGGATTTGTACCAATTGTGACATTTCTTAACCCGTTCATTGACAGTAACGACGTTTACTGTTAAATTGAATATCAGTACGGAGTACCAACTACGTGCTTTAGAGTACAATTTCCAAGTGCTTTCTATGTAGTTGCCGCGTACAGATTCTCCATAGAGAAGTATTAACAACGTACTGACAAAAAACAATGATTTACTTTGAACATTTTATGCTGCGAGAGACAGGAGTAGCTCCAGAATTTAAAATGAGTACAATTTTCTTAGCTTAAACATGGTCCTAAAAAGTGTATAAAATTTGACTTCAGGATTTAAATGAGTTTCAATAGAACATAAGGTTATAAATTGACACTTCCTATGGTTAAAAGTTGTAAAATAAAATAATTACTAGGTACACACACATCGAGTACAGTGTGCCATAGAAACAGTCTTGTAATTAAAACAAATTTGCATTTTTTTTAAATATTTGGTTACCCCATTAAAATTAAATACAAATATCCATATAAATTTATTAAATTATTTATCTATTTATTAGAATAGAATAGAATAGAAACCATTTATTATTATACTATTAAATTGACCAAAAAACCAATGGTGTTAAAAAAAATATAAAACCTCATTTTCAGTAATTGGCGAAAACGTGCTTGATCACTAGACACTTTGATGTTCACCGCGTTGAGTTGTTCACCGCGCCGTTAACTCCGCTAACGGAATTTTTGATCTCGTATGATTTTTTCTCGTATAAGTAATATATGTGTCGCTTATTAATTTAGCAATCGCCAGTTGTGATATAGCTTACTTGACCTTTCGATATTTACGTAGTTGTATTTTAACTTTTGATACTTACCTCGCCAGAATCCTTTAATCCCGCTTTCTCGAAATAGTATAGCATATGCCTGCCTGCAGTTGTTGAATCTGGGTGGCTTGCCCTGCTGGATTCTTCTACCTTCGGCTTGCATCTGGACCTTAACCAAGTCGGTTGGCGACGCAATCAGCTGTGCCAGAGACCCTGCTGCCAGCCCACCTGTCGGACTTCGAAGGTATGTTATGTTGTTGCTATTTATTAATATTTTGTGAAATTATATTAATTTATTTTTATTTTTATTTTATTTAGTCATTTAATTCAAGCCATATGACCCAAATATACCTTAAGGACTATTATAAATATAATATAATATAACAATCTAATAATTGACTTACAAATAAATGGACGACGGGTCTAATACAAAAACCACGAAAAAAATGTCCCAAGTCAACCTATTTAAACGTAGTGACATGTAAAGGAATATGAAAAAGCTAAAACGTTGAATTTAAATTGTAATGTCATCGCAGTACTGTCTAATTTTGCTTGCTTCGCTGTCAGTCGAACAAACGAAGACTAAAGCGTGAATGACGCTCTGTATACGATTTCAACGCCCTAGAAGTTCGGACACTTTTTAGCGCGGACCCGGCGTCCATATAATTGTAAGTCAATGAATCTAATAAACTAAATAACCAAGTTACATGAATAACACTTGTCGACGTCGTGTGGCGCAATCTGGCGTCAGGTAACTGGACATAATATAACAACCTTCGGCCAAAACTCCTCCTTCATGAAGGTCGACTGATGTTCGAACGGCACTCTCACCAAAACCGAATTAAAATTCACGTTGTGGCGGGACTCCAACTGCTTGACCCTCAGGGCGTATCGCGGGCTTTCAACCTAATGAACTCCACTATCTCCTCAGACTTCGTTGAGTAATGTAGCCGCGACCAAAACTGTATTCTTTTAATAAAGTCCTATTTATTGTGCAGCCGGTTATAGTATATTCGGGACATTATGACATAAACAACATATAGTTGAAATAGATCCCCTTGGGAAAGAGTAAGTCCAGGGAAGTACTGTCGCTATTCTGTCGCCAAGCAGTAATGTGAGCAATTTTAAAGAGTAAGTGAGTGGAAATTACAGACACTTAGGACTTATCAACTGTATATCACAGGGCCTTCCTGATTTTTTATTTACTTTAACAAAGACGTTTTTGTTTTGTTTAATTTCGATTTCGATAGATAGCTATTGAAATAATACGATTAACAATAAACAAGATTGATTTATCCAATTTTGTTGTCATTTGTTTAGAATTTAAGAATTTATTTCGATAAAAAATGCCTGGTTTTAAAAAACCGTTATTAACGACAACAAAATCCTTAAAATATTGGGTGTCCGGCCTTTCCATCCAATTGGCTAAACGGCTGGTGTGTCCATCTACTCGGTTTTACGACCTGGCAACCCTATCAGTGTGCCGAGCGCAGTATCAGCGGCTCTCAAGTCTTTGCTATTTAAAGCTCGGTGTGACATCGCAACTGTTATGGGTAGGCGTGTCATTCACTGGCGCATGATTCGTTCATCCCGTCACATCATAAATAAAGAAATTGAAAAACTGAATGCGTTACCGGATTTATGATGTACTAAATAAAAGTAACACTTGTGTGACCAAAATTGCGCTGACTCTCCATTCCCTTCGTACCCAAACACAGTAATACTGCTTTGTGGTGTAAATAAATATTTTAATGGTACCTACTCAAGCGAATTCTGCTCTACATTGCACTAATACCAATAAAAATTGCAATAAAAACAAGAACTAAGTAGGTAAATGTGTCGCAGCTGAATTATGTAATACACGGAACTACATAACAATAGGGCTAGCACGACGGGTCGTGACTTGCGCGAGAGCGATATAAAGCACGAGATCTCTATACAAAAATAACCATATCTCGCGCTTTATGTCGCTCTCGCTCAAGTCGCGCCCTGACGTGCTAGCCCTACAGAACTGTTTTGTAAAAAGACTAATTCAACTGCGACAATTAGCTGGAATGTAATATGTCATAAGTTGAAGTAGTGTGCTTTGTAAAGGTAATAACTGTATCACAACAACATTACCTACGGCTGAAAGTCAATTCAAATTCAAATGTCAATTCAATTCAAAAGTGAAAATAGCGCTATTTTATGAAGGCTTCTTCACAAAATAGCCCTATTTTCACTTTTAAACGTTTAATAATGCAGCATGTTGGTGAAATCTGTTCAGATGTCTACCTACATAGAGAAAGACAGAGATCTAATATTTATACTCTAATTATTATTTTTTTATTATACCAAGTGTAGGGACGAACAAGTCGTGCGCCTGCACGCTTAGTGGTTTTTCTTTTTTTATTATACGAACTGTAAGTGCGCATTTGACCTCCATCTCACCCGATGGAAAGTGACGATGAGGTCGACGATAAGCATGCACACCTAAATAATGCCTATTCACTCTCGCCTTGAAAAGGTCCATGGTGGTAAGCGACACGCCTGTCCATAACAGTTGCAGTTCCACTCAAAGCTTTAACTTACAAAGATTAGTGGGCACTGCCTCTGCGCCCGTCACCCTGAGACATAAGTTGACAAGTCTCTTTTTATTTATTTATTTATTTTAGGACGGTTTACAGCTATAAGTCAAAGATGGTGTGTAGAACTAAACAATATAAAAAAAGCCTATTACAAACCTCCACATTTGGATATCAAAATTACAAACCAATAAATGATGCTGATCATGATCATGTGCCTGTAATTTCAATTGCAGTGTCCTCAGAGCTTTAAATCGCAAAGATCTGAGGGGCACTGCCACTGCGCCCGTCACCCTGAGACATAAGTTGACATGTCCCATGTGCCTGTAATTTCACTAGCACCCTTACTTGCTCTTCAAAAGCGGAACACAGTAATGCTGACATTACTACTTGGCGGCAGAAATAGGCAAGGTGTACTTCCCTGGACGAACTCTTTCACAAGGAGCTCTACTGCTACTAAAAGATTTTGGATCGTATCTAGTTTGTACGTTGCACAATTTTATTGGCTGTAAAGTTCATTATGCTATGTACAATATCGTTACAAAACTTCGCTTCTATTCCGTTCCGCTGCAATATAAATTGAGCCTTAGCGGCAGAAATAGGTAAGGTGGCAGTACTTCCCTAGAAGAAAGAATTCTTATGGAAGAATCCATAAGGAGCTCTATTGCCGCTAAAGTACTCGCTTAAAAAGAATTACTTGTTCTGCGATTTGATATACTGGGCACAACATTTTTGCTATAAAATTTTACATGAAGAACGCAAAATTTGCTCACCCACAGACGCTTTCGCCAAGGTGACCTGTCCATTTTCATCCTTCATCCACTCGCGAAGCTGCTCGTAGATGATGAGGCGGCAGCCCGAGTAGATTGCATGCCGTTGAAACATTGGCATCAGTCCGCTCCATAGCTTGAAGACACCTTCTTGCTTTGCTATTTTGACCGCTGTTTGGATCATGCCGTGGTTCTCCAGCTATAAAACGTTTGTAACTGCTAGCGATCGGATAATCGGGCGTTTATTTACCTACATTTTTGTCTCCACGAAATAATAATAACGTACACACTCATAGCCTCGCACTAGGGAAACCCTGTATCGTAGGTGCCATGGACACACACATAGACAACCACAACTTACACTCAAAACTCACGAGAAAAATAAATGTAGTCCATACAAATATTTCTCCTGGCCCGGGAATCGAAGCCCACGGAGACAGCTATTAATTAATAAAGTTAAAATGGGGGTTTTAGGCCATAGTCTTCCACACTGGCCTAATGTGTCGGGAACTTCACACGTTTTCCGAGGGTTGATAACCCTTCTTCGATTTGCAGGTTTCATCATAATGAAAACTTTCACCGAAAAGCTCATGGCAAAGTTCAAATTATATTCCGCACATAAGTACGTTCCAAAAAACCCAGAGGTGCCAGCCCGATTCGAACCCATGGCCTCTGCTTGAGAGGCGATAGCCGGTAACCGTTAAGGCTACCACGGCTTCAATCACGTTTCAATACCCGGATTGAGAAATAAATGTTATTTACTAAATAATTATACATTAACTACACTACAACTTTTTAAGAATTATTTAATAAGAGGGATATAGAAAAAAATTACATGGAATGTACATTTTTTCGTATGTACGTCGGCCGTCTACGTCAGGGTACTAGGTACGACGGCCGATGTGCGTGACGTGATTTGGAAAGAATGAGGTTGATCAGGGAACTAATGGCGCATTATCACAAACTACTTCGCCTGTCGGAGGCGACGCCGTCGACTCGCCATTTACACGAGTCGTCTGCCGCCTTTGGCAGGTTACTTCGCCTTGCCGAAGGCGACGCACCCAGTCGTTTCATCCGACTTCAGCTGCAAACTACCGTCGTCAGACGACTTTACATTTTACACCGGGTTGCTCCCTTCGGCGGATAAGCAAAGGTAGCCTGACGACTGTAAGTCGTCAAGTAAATATGCCATAAGGTAGCGGCCATTATTACTCGTTTACCTACTTTGACCGTGAACTTAAGCCATGATAATACACAAGATATTTTTTACTGATGCCAGCAGTTTAGGATCAATGCATATACCATCTTAAAAGTAAGTTTGTATACATTATATATTCAACGATAAAAACATTATTATAAGAAGTTCTACGAAATTGTGTGCAAGAATTTTATTTTGCAATAAGAGGAATAAAGTTATAGAAATACATAAAATTTAATCAGAAAGGCATTCTATATTATTTTATCGTGGGCCGTAAAAACCAGAAGTTCAGGTAAAAATAAGCGCCCGAATATGCGATAACTGGTAATTACAGAAGTCAGGGGAAAATTCATTACCTTGATTATTTATGTGTAATGTAATGTATAATTTTATTGATTAGTAAGTTACTAGTTTCTTTATACCTTTGAGGACTAACCTTATATCCATGTTTAGTCGCTGCCACTTCTGATTGTATCTGCAGTCTTGTCTTGGTCACGTCAAACGGATATGTCGCTGCAAATGAAAAAACAAGCAGTAAAAATATTAAACAACATTAATAAAACCATTTTTACAAATAGTTACAATACTGAAACAAACTATTTTAGGCCTATGACGCCAAGTTTGTAAATTATTTGTATATATTATACGTATGCTTGGTGACATAATTAAATAAAATAGAGAGCGATGTGTAGCGAGCTCGTGAGCAGTTAATTACCGAGATCGTGGTGTATGTATTGAGGACACAGAATACCAAAATTTTCACTTTAGCGACACAATTGATAGTAATACAAAATGACAGGCAGTAAACAGGTGGAATTATAGTACCATGAAATAAAATAAGTAACGCGGTGTAGGTATTAAGACTGAGGTGTCAATTGTAAATCTTGTGACATTTTACAAAAATACAAAAAACTATAAGTTGTAAGTATGAATTGGAATAATTACTACTATAATTAAAAACTGTAAGTATTCCACTAATTTGATATTATTATTAATACACAGATCGAACACTTAGAAAAAAATGCTTAGTTGGCATAGTGTCTGGCCCGGTTTGCTAGAAGACGTGGTTTCGAATCCGACCGGATCGAAGGTATTTTTTCTAAGTGTTCGCTCTTTGTATTAATAATTATAACAAATTATTGGAGTATTTTCACCAAAAATAATTTAATAACATGGTGGTAAGACATCCTGACATTCAATAAAACACTTAACTATAAGTATTACTTAAGTTGTTGTAAATCGTGAGTACCATCACCAGCAGAAATACGATCTGTCCTTTTTTTACACTCTGTATAAGTCTTAAGTACCCTTACTACCCTTTTTAGGAACTATTAACGGATTGTAGCAATGGAGAAAACCAAATTGCTGTGTAGATAGTTTTAAAAGAAAACAATAATCTAGTACCTGTCTCGGCGGCCCAGGCGCCGAGCACGGCGACTGAATAGCGCGTGCACACATCGGCGGCTTTTGAGGCGGGGTGGTCAGCGTTGCGTAGTACCGGCATGATTCTTAGTCACCTCGCTACCAGACCCGATCTGCCCATAATACCTGGGAAAGTTCGTTGTTGTATAACAAACTTTATACGACTTCATTAAGCCGGTATCTACAGTAGTCAAAGTGTATAATTAGATAAAGATTAGATATCACAATTCTGATTGTTAACGATGAAAAAATACTCTTTAATGGCGACTATAAAAGTGGCTTGTGTGACGATTTGTGCACTCTGTAAGTAGCAGGTTAGCGGCGCGGCGACCGGGGACAATGTCCGATCGCCTCCGCCACTCTGCCGGCAGGGTTATGAACAAAGTGTTTTGACATTTGTTTGTCCTATCGTACAAGATAAATATTTTCTGCCAGCTGAATTGACGGCGTAGTAACAACGTAGAGCGAAAATATTGCGCTTGCTTAGCACTGGGCCGTGGAAAAATATTGCAAAAATTTATTTTTCATTTTAAAAAAACACATTTTTTTCTGAACATTTTTCCAATGCATTTCCTATATTTTTCTACATTTCATTCCTGACTAAAGTTAAAAATACTGAACTCAAAGATGAGATTTTGTAAAAATAAGTAAGAAAATTACATAAAGGTTCTTTCAAAGTCAAAGTAAAATGATCTTTATTTCATTCGTAAGGCAGATTCTCCTGAGAAGAATGAGCAAGAAACTAGAAGTTACTATTTGTAAATACTTATTTTTTTATTTACCAATATTTACTATTAAATTATTATTACTTAATTCATAAGTATATAAGATCATTGGTCCGTAAGAAAAAAGTAACATTAATAAAATAAATTTTATTTCGTGAGTTTCAAAATAATTACGTTGAAAGACTAATTATTTTGCACAAAAACCGTACTTTTGTATTTCGATTGTATACAATTCTTATATACAAATCTAAAAAACAGAGATAAACAATTCTAATTGATTTAAGTGACGTTGCCGAAAAATAATGATATCCAAAGTCCATGCTAAAAGAAAAAAAAATATTAGAGCATTATGTGTAGATTCACAATTATAAATATAAATTATATATATAAATTACAAATATAAACTTTACCACTTTCGAATTTTTCCGAATGTATTTAATAATTTTCGTACAAGTACACAATACTATTCTTGCTCATCGCTCTTTTCCACGGCAGATGCCCAATGAGCCATAATATAAGCTTATTATAGTACACATTCCACACTAAACCAAAGTATTTATTATTTATTTATTTAAACACTTTATTGTACCACAAAGTAACTTACAAATTTTCAGAAACAATTTAAATATTTGTGTACAAAGGCGAGCTTATCCCATAAAGAGATTTCTTCCAACTAACCTTTATATTGGCGTTATATTATAGTATATTGGCGTTTGTACATATTTTTTATATTTTATTAACAATCGGAGTCAGGTAGCCAGGCGGTGGCATCTGATTGGTAAAATATTTGACATGTATATTATTTCTTTCTGTCTTTATGTTAATAATAAACGCTCTGAACGTCTATAAAATTATAGATGTTCGGAGCTTTTCTGTGTTTTTATGACGACCGTTAATATTATTTTTATGCATAGGTAAATGTATATCTTTATACTATTTATTCGTCAAAAATGTTACCTAGATATATTAACGTGATTATTCTCAATATAGATATGTACACGTAGGTACTCATTATCATAGTGAATAAGACCGTCTACCTATAACCTTACAAAGTTATCAATCATTGTAGTGTATCACACTTTTCAAACAGCAATCTTAGAAGATAACGAAGATCAAGGTAACTGGTCATTGATCAACGGTCAGTTGTGTGCATTGATTACTTATCAAACTAGATTAATGACTTGCTTATTTCAAATTAAAAAGTTCATGAATATGAGATAAATATAATTGATTAGGTATACTCGTACATAGAGTGTAAAAAATGCGAGGGGTAAAGTGGGTAGAGATTTTCTCAGCTAGGTGGTATTTTCTACTACGTCCAGGAATTAAACGACGAAATCGATACACAATTTCGGACAAACTTGGTGGTGCACTCCCGCACCGGATTTTTTTTCAATGTGATCCGTGAAGTTCCTGTAGACGCAGATTTACAAAATATCTCACTCTAGACAGCTCTAGTGTAGGGTCTAGGTGTAGAGTTCTGAACGATGAACGTGGATCGCAGACGCTTCCTTCGAATGAGGATTATAACAACTTTAATTACTTTAGTATAGAATATTGACGAGAAATCATTAAATTAGGGAAAATCTTATGGTTCTGAAATGCATATTTTGTAACAATGCCATCTAGCGATAAACTTCGGAACTATTTTTACTAGTGTTTAATAATTTCTGTAATAAAAATAAGTATTTTAACAATATTTATCACATAGAAATTATTTATTTCCTTTTTTTAAGGTAGGACTAACTAATTTTGTAGCTAGGAAACGACATATTGAGTTCTCTAATAAGACCTAAAAGCTGATATACCTATTTAATAATAACGATCAAGTTTACAGCAGCCAAATATTTTTCTCAAAATCAATGAGACAATTGTTAGTTGTAACAAGAATTTCATAATTTGAAAAATTGAAATAAATTATAATGAAAAAGAAGTCGAAAATATGATACCTTACGTACAACAGACTCGCAAGAAAAATAGTCAATTACTTCACACATAATCATGATGTAAAATATCAGTGTTTTTTATTAGGAGTTATGCATATTTATAAAGTCTTTGCAAAACAGGTTGAGATAGCCAAACTTGGTGTGGAAAAAAGCCTTTACATTCGTATATTTTTCAGCAACAGATATGTTTGAAGATTTTTTGTTAAGAACACGTTCTAGTCCATCAAAACTTAACAATGCTCTATTGTGAACAGAAAACCAATAAAAACTTGACTGATGGATTGTAATGAGAACATAGTGTCCTATAGCATAAATGCTCGTAACTTACGAAATTGAGGGAAAAAAATTAAATATTTCGATTCAGTATGTCATGTTCCAAATAAAATTTCAAATAGTTCGTTTACGTAACACTCTTATGTTACGTCTGTATTGTGGAAAAAGATAACGACTGTGTTAGATACACGTATTAATATTTTAGTTCATTTATATTAAGGGTTCATTAAATAATGATTGATGGATGCACTTCACGTCCGATCGGCTGGTCTGGACATCTTTGGAGGAGGCCTATGTTCAGCAGTGGACGTCTTCCGGCTGATATGATGATGAAAATGAAATAATGATTTGCCCTTCTAAAGTACGACCAGTTGAAAGAGAATAAAGTCGTTGTTAGGGAAGAAAAAATTCAGCCCGCATTATTTGATATAAAATTTGAAGACTTGAAATTTAAAAATTTTTGACGTTATCAATTTTTTTGCTATCGGTAAATTTTACATTCGCTCTGAAATCAATCATAGATACTCATTGACTTACAAATAAATGAACGACGGGTCTAAAACCACGAAAAAAATGTCCCAAGTCAACCTATTTAAACGTAGTGACATGTAAAGGAGTATGGAAAAGCTAAAACGTTGAATTTAAATTGTAATGTCATCGCAGTACTGTCTAATTTTGCTTGCTTCGCTGTCAGTCGAACAAACGAAGACTAAAGCGTGAATGACGCTCTGTATACGATTTTAACGCCCTATAAGTTCGGACACTTTGTAGCGCGGATCCGACGTCCATATAATTGTAAGTCACTGTAGATACTACTAAAATTCGTAATATTTTTTAATATGAATTTCGACATGATAGTCATGTCGAAATTCAACGTAAAGAATAAGACATTAGACACAATCATTGATTTTTTATTGACATGAAATGTAACGAAATAAGTACCTACTTATATTTTACTGTGTCCGGTCAAACATTAGGCATACTTACAAACATATTCAAGGTACATTATACATTTACTCACTTGCGCTTCAATAGACTAGAACTTATTTACTTATTTTTTTGGCGATTATTATTTTGCATTAATATTCTATAAATAGCTCTATATAGAGCGACAATTATATGTAATTAACGTTATGACGTTTAAATATTGCTACGTACTATTTAGTAAAAAAAAATAAATATACCTATATCAGACATACAAGCGTCTATGTAACAGATATACGCGTTTGTTTAAAAATGCCTATTCACTCTAGCCCTGAACAACAATATATATTACCTTGTAATAAATTCTTTATTTACTTAAAATAGTTATGTTTTTTACTACATATAAGACAGTCAAAATTGTATAAAAGATTTAAAAAATAGCCAAATTAAATTAAACTATTCTTAAGGTTAAGTAAGACCCAAAGTAGATGTTTGGACCGGACGGAAAAATCGATTTTTCGACGTTAAAAATTATTGATTATAAGATCGAACAAAACAAAGGAAAATTCCTCCACGATAAGGCAATAGACGCTGGTCGATCTTTGTATCTATAACAATTACAAATTAGTGGAGTACTGTCACAAATAATCTCAGGTACTAAAAAAACCGACCTATAAAGTTCTTGGAATTTCATCTATTTGCCAAGTTTTATTGACTTCGATTACCGGAAAGTGCGCAAAACCGGATTCATACCCTAGTTTGCCACCCTTAGAGGTGGTAGCCTATCACAAACTCGATTTTTTTTCCGAAATAACGTTTGTTCGAATTTTCGTTACACCGAAAACCGAATTATAACGAAACCGTTGTTCTTTCAGGATATGTTGGATGTTTATAGTAAAGACACGATTAGTTAGGTTAAGTTAGGTTTAAAAGAAAAACGTTTTCCTCTTAAAATTACTTTCGAGGTTATGAAAATTCGAGCAAACGTTATTTCTGGAAAATATCATTTCGAACTATTGATAGGTAACCCTTAGATGTGGAATATTTATTTCAAATTTAAATGGGACCACTACTGATGTATTCTCTTTCCAACAAAAAATTATCATCAAAATCGGTTCACAAAGTTATCGCGTACATACATAAAAGCATACAGTCGAATTGAGAACCTCCTCCTTTTTTCCAGTGAATTAAAAATAGATGAATATTATGGTAATACTCGTAAAAACATCATACTTTATTTGTTATACCAGGCTACAAA